GCACCTCCAGGTCCATCAGGACGTAGAGGGTCTTGACCAGGTGGAAGGGCAGCCAGCAGCCCCCGAAGGCGGCCACCAGCACCGTGATGATGGTGAGGAGGCGCTTGCGCTTGCGGGGCCCCTCGGCCCGCTCCCGGCGGAAGTGGCTGGCCACGGTGCGGGCGATGAAGAAGTAGCAGGTCAGCATGACGGCGAAGGGGAGCACGAAGCCCAGGGCGGTGGAGGAGAGCCCCAGCCCCACCTCCCAGGCGCCCTCCGTCCCCGGGGCGGCCAGGCCCCCGTAGTCCATGTAGCAGGTGATCTTGGTGTCCTCCCCCAGGGCGGCCGCCTGACGCAGCACCAGGGCTGGCATGGCCAGCAGAGCTGCCAGCACCCACAGGGCCACCGTGGCCACCAGCCCGCTGACCCGGGAGCGCAGCTTGGCGGTGGCCAGGGGCCGGACGATGGCCAGGTAGCGGTCAAAGCTCAGCCCTGTCAGGCAGAAGACACTGGCGTACATGTTGACGAAGACCAGGTAGCTGCTGACCTTGCAGGCGGCCGTGCCGAAGGGCCAGTGGTAGCCCAGCCAGGCGTAGGCCGCCCACAGTGGCAGGGTGGCCACGAAGGTGAGGTCGGCGGCGGCCAGGTTGGCGATGAAGGTGTCGGCCGAGCGCCGGCGGTCCCGGCCGCCCTTGAAGATGGTCCAGAGGACCAGCCCGTTGCCCGCCGTGCCCAGCAGGAAGACCAGCAGGTAGATGGTGGGCAGCAGGGCCAGCGAGGGGCCCCACTCGGCGTAGTCGCAGTCCGTCTCGTTGTCCCCGTAGGCGTAGGCGTCCGTCGCCTCGTCCATCGCCGCCGGGCTCAGCTCAGCTCATCCCGGGCTCACCGAGATCCCCCGGCCCTCTGAGCCCGGCCCAGCGACCCCACCGCGTTACCTCCCCTTCCTCCTCCTCCTCCTCCGCCTCCTCCCCGATGGGATGGGGTGGGACGGGCGGGATGGGGTGACCTGGGCGGGGGGGGAGCCCCCGTGGGAAATTTCACAGCTCCCCCCCCCCGCATCTGGCTCCTTCCGGGGGGTTTTACCGAGCTCTCACCCAGGTGTCAACGCGTCAACCCCCGAGATAACCCCCGGCGGGGCGGGGGGGCTCCTGGCGGGGCGGGCAGGGGTCCACCGCCCCTAACTCACAGTTTGCCTTTGGGGTTTCACCCTCGGGGCGCTGCCTCCCCCCCCTCGCCGTTCTGCAGGGGGGTGTCGCGCCCCGGGAGCTGCGTTTGGCACCGGGGCTGTCGCACGGGGGGCTTTGCAGCGGGGTGTTGCCCCGGGGGGGGGG